TACAGCTGGCTGACTCTGTGTATTCCCAAGACAATAAATACAGCTTGTTTTGTGTAAGACTTTTGGGCTCCATTTATATTACATGCATGAGCTATTTTATGATGTTTTGGTACTCAAGCTAGACATCAGACAGCTTTTATGACTGTGGTAGTCCTGTGCTATCCTTGTTTCTGCTACCTGGACTGGTTTGAAAGACTTTACCAGAATTGGCACCATTCGTCCAAGCTACCAATGGCGATTTCCTTCATCATGAGACAAAAGATGTGATTGTATGATATGGTCAAACCTGTCACATGGCTTTGTCTCCGAGTACATGGGAGATGCCATCAAGCAATCACATAACCATTGGTGCTCTATCTGGGGCCTGATGTTCAGAGGCTATAGCAGTTGTATGGCAGGTAAATGTGGAATTTCAGGATGGTGAATGGTGCCCATCTGCCCCTGTGTCCCATGGGCTGACAAGGCTGACAAGGCCTGATCACATTCCATTAATGTGTGCTGTGACTTATCAATTAAATCAATGTCTTCTTCCTCTAAACTGCTACAGGTGTCAGGCCCATGCCTCTCTGGAACAAATTTATCTTCTGATTTGTCTGAGCTAGAGTGACTCTGGAGTATGCACAATCCTGGGTACATGGTACATTTGAAATGGGAATGTACATCAACTCTTGCCATCCACAGTGGCACTCAGTGGCACCTTAGATTGCACATGGGAAAGTGGTTAAACATTGATAAGAAGTTCATAATTATAATGACTTTAAATTTTGCAGATGGTTGTAAGTCCAGAGCAATTAGAAAGTAAAAGAGAAAATGTGTGAAGGAGGGGGAAGGACATGGGTGAGATCCTGGGGGGTAGGTGACATGGCTTTATGCTCTGTTTCTTCCACTTAGCTTTCTTCTATTCAAGGCTAATTTTAGTTTCAGCTAATCTTTTCCTACTTGCTTTGCAACTCTGAATGGTTTGGGATCATTTTCATCTATCTTTTCAAATCTGTTAAAATTGTTGTTCTAGACTTCAGTAACCCCTTAACGTAAGATTTCTTGACCGACTTACGACACCCTGAAAAATAAACATTACTGGGCATCCGCCAGTGTGACGCTGGATCAGAGCTTGCGCTAAGATTTTGTTGTGGGCTGCGGCCCTCGCGCAGGCAGATTCCGGGCCAGTCCCATGTGCCGATTTTGAAGCCGCCCCGGAAACAAACATTTTCAGCTTCAAAATATACCGGCGCTAGTGGGTTAAGCTGGTGTGCTTGCAACCCATGGGATTGCTGAAATCAATTTATGAGGGTGCTTGGAAGTGCAGAATACATGGCAATTTAAAAAAGAAAAAGAAAGAAAGAAAGAAAGAAAGAAAAAAAAAAAAAAAAAAAAAGAAAGAAAGAAGAAGAAGAAAAAAAAAGCTGATTACCCAACTGTACATGTTTGACTTTGTCCATGCTCTTTTTCCAAGGTTTTCTTATTTCTTTTATCAACAATGATAGCAGTTAGTTTTAGTTCTGAGGAATCAAAAAAATAAATGATCAGGAATTACTATACATTACTCTCTTGACTACAAGAGTGCTAGAGCCCATGCCTCTGGATCCTGGTGCTTTGCTGCTCACATGTAGCAAATCCAGACATTAGACTTACTTGAGTGGGTATGTGGTTAGTACGCTGGGCATACATGAATACTCATCCGCAGTGTCCTTGCCTGCTCTTTGCAATCTTATCATCTCTCTTTCTACATAAGATTTTTTTCATTTTTTCGTAATATCAAATTCTCTATAATACAACCTGTGCTGCCAGCCACAGCAGGCAGGAAAAGGATCCTGAACACAGCTAATGGATCGTACTTTCTACATGTTTAACAATGGAAATAATTTAAGAGCCCCTTCCTAAATATCTACTAAGTCTATTTACTCTCCAAGACCTTTATGCACTCATGGCGAGTCATTCCATTCACCCAGGCCTTCAGCCAAAATTCTCATGACAGCATGGTCCTCAGCTTTCAGTTAATCTTTTTTATTCATGACGGCATGTTCCCGTTACCAGCCCCTCAAGCCAAATCTTTTCATGAAATGGTCACATCATCTGGAGCATTAGTAAAATCTCCTTTTGAGATATGGCTGTTCAAAAATTTCAATGCTAGGATGGTGGGTGGAGCAATCTGTGCAAGGGATTCTTGGGGATGTGGGATGAGGAGAGGAAAGTGGGTACAGCATCTGAATAGTGGGTTATTGAAAAAGTGAGTTGGGGATGAGATGGTGGAAAAAGTAATTTCTTAGAGCTTGGACAGGGTCAGGAGGAAAGACTGGGTGTGAGGAGAACCCAGGAAGACAGGAAGAGGCCCTGCAAAGTAGCAGCAGGTATTGTTATCAGTGGCTATAAGGCTGGAGGAAAAGATGCCTGACTATTCCAAATTTTCTAGTTTACATCCAATTCACAACCATAAAACAGTCTGCTAATTTGCTAAAGAGAACTGATAATGCAAAGCTTCACAAAACCTATAATTAAACTCCCGATGCCATGAAAATGATTATCTATTGGTTTTAACATGGAAATATGCATGATAAAAACAAAATAAAATATAATCCTGAAGGCTCACTTCCAGCACAAAGCTCCACAAGCCAAACACTTCTGCCATGTAGTATCAACTTATACTTTCAAACAGTACTTACTCAGCCAGATCCTCTGGCGCTCTCGAGGTAGTGGTCTGTAGTAACGGCACTTGCTCGACTCCTGACTCGTTTTCTTCTGACACAGTGAAGATGTTAGTGATCATCTCTGGGTCTTCAGAATCAATCACATCTGTAACTTCATGGATCTGGGCACCCCCTATTCCACTGGTGCTTCCACTAACCACCTGAGTGAGATCGTTAACCTTAAAAAAAGTTGGTTTGGATTGAACATTTTAGGATATGAACACTGCAAATCTTGGTATAGTATGTAAAGAGAAAAAAAAAGATATAAAAAAAGAAAG